TTTGCTCAACTCTGTCATGTTGTCAATGTTCACGCTGCCTCTTGTCACCGGAAATCGCCAGGAAATGAATGAATTCAGAGTGCTTTGTAGAGTCACGTCGCTGCCGGTGTGAATGCACTTTTAGCAGTCTAGAGTTGTTGTTGTCGTATTGCTGTGCGTTTCTTTTACATTATGGGAAAAGTTGTAATGCATTTCAGTAATGAACTACTGTAACATTTGATTTTCATTCTGTATCGACAGCTTCGAGACTGAACTTCTGACTTTTTTGATTTGTTTAGATGTCAAAAAATGACAAAAACATGGAATATACATTCTTTCTACAAAACAAGACCATCCACACAATAACTTCTCATCAAATTCTGATTATAATAAAATAAGTAACACTTTATTTTGATGCTTGATGTGTTGTAGATGCTCAGTCTGTCTTGAACATCTATTCAACTAAATACCTATTAATTGCAAGTGAACTTTGAGTGCAATAGATTCTATTACATCTAACCCTTAACCTGCACCTCCTCCTAAACCTGACCCTTACCCTAATGTTGCTGTCACCCTAATCAACTATCAGAAGGTTCGTTAATAATCTAAATATATGTAGATTAGGGGTGCGGGAAAAAATAGATTCTGAATCGATTCATTAATGTCAAAAATCGATTTTCTAAATATTTAATTCATAACGTAATGTTGACGGAACGCAAAAGGCGGAACTTGGAAGTTGGTAAGTGCGGCGCCCGGACAGTCTGTGGCGGCACATAACAAAAACACAACCGGATGAGCGAGAAATCCGACCAGCTCCCTCTGCATTAAAGCCAGGTTAGATCAGGAGTCACAACACAAATGATAAGAAGAGACATTCTGACCTTTCAACAAAGTCAAACCAAATTGGGAGCCACAACATTTATGTCCAGTATGTGATAATGTGCTAAAAATGGGCTAAAAATATAACCGAAAACGCAGATTTACTTCGCTCTGCTTTAAGCTTTAGCTATAGCCGCTTTTCTTCCAACTCTCCTTCTCATTCGCCAGCTTCTTGCTGAACTTTCTGGTTCCACCTTAAATTCTGACTGAGGCGCCGAATGTAAAAGCGGCACCATTTAAGGTGGAACGCGAAAATTAGAAAAGCGACTTCATCTTCGCAGCTTCGCATCTTTTAGTTAGTGTTTGACAGTCTCTCACTGCAGATTTAACGTACCAGGAAACCAACTGTGCTGCTTATAAATGCGAATAAGTCCGTTCATCTCCAAATGTTCGTCTGTCTTTCTCTTTTCCTACTAGCCAGGCGAAACCTCGTTGCTAGGTGACCTGCAGTCTTTCGCGCCCCCCCACCATCACGAAACCAAAACCAAAGTAATGAAATCCCTAAAGACTATATAATGTGCTGCGTGGTCATTCATCACCACTTATCTTATTTCACCGTAACAGCGCATTTTACTGCAGATGAGTGGCAGCAGCGTCTCCAAACAAGAACAGTGAATGAGAGCCTTCCAGTTCACTTACCACATTACTTCCATTTGTTTTATTAATAAAAGACATTGGACGTAAATGCATTATGGATCATTACAAATACTTTGTTTTAAAACTACAAAGTCCTCAGACAGTAAGAAAATAGAAATCATGTATAGAAAAAAAGATGCATCGAAATGCATCGATAATCGTTTTATAATCGAATCGCAGCCTCTGAATCGTAATCGAATCGTGAGGTGCCTAGAGATTCCCACCCCTAATGTAGATCATCTACAGGGGATCGTTAAAATTAAGTGTCACCAAAATATCTCCTTATCAGCTTACAAACACACACATGGTGTGGATTGAAAGTTTAGAATCTGCACTTTCCATACAATTTCTCTGCTTGCTTCAATGAGCTATGAGTCAGAAATAATTTAAAATAATTTAATGTCAAGGTGTGTAGGCCATGTGGGACCTAAGAGGGTCAAACTGTTTGGATGGTCAGTGACCTGCAGTGTTTGGTGCCATCATACTCTGAAGGTCAGACTATAAATTGAAAGCAGTAGCTGCGCCCCCGTCCTGAGTGCTGCTCGAATGACAGGCCCACTGCTCATGTACTGAATTACGTATTTACTTCTTTATGGTCAGCCTGCAGACTGGGGACATAAACAGGTGGCAAACCAGCAGCTACTCTGACTAGGACCCTACTTCAGCTGAGTACACTGTAAAAATGCTGTAAATTTAAAGTATTTATTTTACAGTAAAATACTGGATTATTTTACAGGATCATACCATAAAAGTTTGGGCATTTAGAGAGGTGCATTGGTTCATAATAACATACAAGATACTACAATTTACAGTCATTTACTGGCAGTCAGTTCTGTAAATTTAATATACAGAAAAATACCGTAATTTATGTACCCTGCTGCCAGTAAATTACTGTCAATTTTGTGGGAGGAATTTGAGATTTTAACAGCAAATTGAGGACCAGGCATTCTATAAAACACTTTAATGTAACCTATAAAGCAGGGCTGGACTATGAACTAAATTCAGCCCTTGACTTTTGTCTAAACCAACCCACTACCAACTCAGTGAGCCCCCCTCCCCCACCATGACACCCACCCTCGACCCCTACCTGGAATTAAGCCTGCTGTCATAGTTACAGCATGTGGACACATATTGTCAAACACAGTAAAGCCGGTTTGTACATTTACCTATACCTTTAAAACTCCAGCAGCACTGAGAATGATCTACCACCCAAATAGTACCTGCTCTGTGAGGGTCCATGGGGGTCCTGACCCCTGTAGGACAGGGTAGAAGGGTTCTAACAAAGTATCAGAGAAACAGATGGACTACAGTCTGTAACTGTAGAACTACAAAGTGCACCTATATAGTAAGTGGAGCTGATCAAATGGACAATGAGCGTAGAAACAAGGAGGTGGTCATAATGTTACGCCTGATCGATGTATATTTTCCTGCCAAACTGCATTATATATTATCTATCTATGAGACAGACAGACAGCTCAATTGATGGATACACACACACACATCAAATTTTATATGAAAACTGACATGAGACTGTGTCAAATTTATTTTTTATTTTTTCCAGTGAAGGACAGCAAATAAAAACATCACACATAGGTAAAATGTCGCTGCTGTCAGAACAAAACCTCATATCTCCAAAATGGTAACTTTACAGCAGAAAGAAAAAACCTACTTTACTTTTAATGTAAGTCAATGGAACCAGACTTATTTCCAAGTCATTTTGGGTCGTTTCTTTTGGTCCATTCTTGATGAAATTTACACACAATATAAAGGACAACAGGCATTTTCAAATTGTTAGAAACTGAAAAACGACAAAAACAAAGATATAGCGATATGGACCATTGTTTCTGAATAACCACAGCTTTACCAACTCTTAATGTCAATTTCATTAATATACTTAATTAAAACCAAAATACCAACATCTGAAAGATACTAATAAAGCAGAAGAAAATCCTGGTGTTCAGATGTTTCTCCTTTTCATTTTAAAATCTGTGTAAACATGAAACAGGACAAAATTTACTTTTTGTCTTTGTTTACTTTGTTTGCACCATGTAACAGTTAACCCCGCACTACAGAGGCTGTACTAGCACTTGCTGTCTCATGCTTCAAAATGGTGCTGTGTGTATGAAACAAAATGGTGATTAAAGTAACCCGAGGTTGGATTTTGTGATTTACACAAGCAGCTCAGTAGCCGAAAAAACTTTTGTTGAAAAATGACTTGCATGCCCTGAAAACAGTCTTTGGCACAGATCTCTTAAAAAAGCTTTATTAGAGATTAGTGAACAGCTCCACACAGCTTGAAGATGATGTGTGATGATTTAGGTGTGCGGTTTATGGGAGTGAAACCAAGAGCACTTCTGAAAAAAGAAGTCACTGTATTTTCAAATGCAAATAATTTGCAAAACCAATATTTCCCGTGGTTCTGTCATAGGCCTCACTTTCCTGTGATATGCCGTTACACCCAACCCCACACACACACACACACACACACACTGTCTGCGCTGCAGTGTTTTCATCAGCAAAGCCACGCAAGATGCTGCAATATTTTCCTCTGAAAACAGCCTTACAAGCAGAGACACTTTCCCAAAATTTTTCTTAGCTGGCTCATCTTCATTTCACTGAATGACGTGACCTGAAAACCTTCCGGTGCACCCCCACCCGCCCACCTGATTCATAGCAGTGCCCCAATCAGAAAACATTTAAATCAGCAGATCAAAACAGCACCTCTAAGAACATTTCCTTTATCGTGCACACAGACAGCGTTTTGAAGATCAGCCACAGATTGTGGAGAGAGGAACTTTACTTTTCCCCTTTAGCAAGAGCCCAGAACTGCACATGGCAAACGATCCATCAGCAAGCACATCAAAAAGACCTTTTCCTCTTAGTTTTTCTGTTAGAACCAAAGACGCTGCTGTGAATTCATCTCTAACTACACCTCAATTAATTCCTCAAACTCTCAACCCTTAAACAAATACCTCTCATATCTATATCACTTACGTATTAGTTTCATAGTAGATACTGAATGATTTATAGTAGATACTGAATAATTTATAGTAGATATTGAATAATTCAGAGTAGATACCTAATAATTTAAAGTAGTTACTGAATAATTTATTGTAAATACTGTATAATTTAAAGTAGTTACTGAAAAAACTTATAGTAGATATTGTATAATTTAAAGTAGTTGCTGCATAATTCATAGTAGATACTGAATGATTCATAGTAGATACTGTATAATTTAAAGTGGTTACTGAATAATTTGTAGTACATACTGAATAATAGTAATGATAAGACTGAAGTTTAAAATGTTAAACAGCACAAAATTAAAGAAATAAACTGGACATTTCAAATGCAATTCTTTGTAGAATCCAAAGAGGTTTAAACTATGACTACAAAACCAAACCTTAAACCTTAAAGTTGTTTTTTAAAGGTTCTAAAATTGAATACAAGCAAACTGAAAGCGCACTGGTATTTAATTAGAACTGATTAGATTTGAAAGCAAATCCTACCTCAAAGAATGTTGTTCTGCTCATTTTGAAGATGTTTTCTTCCCTCCTCCTCTTCTATAGTTCTTCCTTTCTTTAGACAATCTCACTGATTACTCCACATCTCTCTCTCACTCTCTCACTTTCTCTCTATCTCTCTCTCTCACTGTCACTCCAACTCTCTCTCTCTCTCTCTCTCCTCTCTCCCTCTCTCCCTCTCTCTCTCTCCTCTCTCTCTCTCTCTCTCTCTCTCTCTCTCTCTCTCTCTCTCCTCTCTCTCTCCTCTCTCCTCTCTCCTCTCTCCTCTCTCTCTCTCTCTCTGTCTCTCTCTCTCTCTCTCTCTCTCTCTCTCTCTCCTCTCTCTCTCCTCTCTCTCTCTCTCTCAGTGGGGAAGCCCTCTGCTGTCCAGAGTGGTAAAAACAGAGAAGTCCACTCTGCTGCTGCTCAGGAATGTGTTGTGATGTACTTGCTAACAGTGTCCTACAGAAGACTGAGGGCACAGCAAAATGCAAGATCTCTTATAAAAACATGTAATCTTGACCAAATTGTTCATTAATTATAATGCAAAGTTGGCAGTACTGAAGCAAAGTTGTGCCATTTTAATTATACAGAATAATAAAAAGGGGAAAATTGGATTCGTAGTCAATATGCTGTTGCTATATTCAATATCGTTCAATAATGTTCAGCCTACAGTCGGTCAGCCCGCCCTTTGGGCCTACATCTGTTTAACCCCGCCCCCTTTCTTCATACAAGCTGCTTAGCCCCTCCCATTTCTGTTGCGAAATGACGGAAAGTGTTGTTCCTGCAGAATGTCTGTAGATGGGGCATTGGAGTAATTGATGTTGGGAATTAAATGTAGTGCTGTTTCTGGCCGTCAGGAAGCAAATAATCATTTCAGCCTTTAGATCCACACATCAGAAAAACTGAAGTTAATTTTTCCCCACATTCTTGAGGATTTCAGCCTGAACTTTATAGTTTTTTTCCACATTTTAGGCTAGACTGCTTTCTGAATGAGGCTAAAAACACATCAAAACCGAGGTCATTTACATGTGTCAGTCTTAATATTACAGTAACAAAAAACAGCCTGTTTACTTCTAAGGGACCATCTCCTACATATACTGGGGGCAGAGGAACCTGCACATCAGATAACTATACTGAAAAATACTGTAAAGGTACTATCAAAAATACCCAACTGATGTAAGTCATAGCTGCATTAATCCAACATCAAAATTAGATGCTTAAACGTGCAAAGTAAAATAAAATGAAGGGCAAAACTGTTGAGAACACTATCAGTGCTTGGAAAGAAAGAAAGAAAGAAAAAAAGAAAGAAAGAAAAAATAAATAAATAAGGTTGGAAAATGGTTGTTTAAAGATTAGTTATTCATTTTTAGTACATAAACACGCACAAACATCTTAAGTGGACCTCCGTAGAGGAAACACAAGCTCGATGTAGGCTAGAATATGAGCTGCTTAAACACTGTGGGAATGAGGCTCAGGTCAGGGTCAGGACCTCTACAGTTACACTGTGGGTATCACACATCATACATCATCCAGCATGAGGTCCTGATTATTTATTGCTTTGGCTGGTGGGCTTTGCCACGTCACTAAGAGCTACAGCTCTCAAACCTGAAGGCTGCATTTGTGGATTTGGCCAGTAAGTTAGGCCAGCAGCCTGTCACAAATTAACTAGTAGTGTATGGAGTGAGAGAAAAGAAGACATGTTTGCAATTGTTCTGTCAAAAACATGACCGTTACATGACTGAATGTATATTTATTAGCCTTTCTGTCACTAAACTGGTGGTTCCCAACCCAGTCCTGAAACATCTGCACAGATTAGTGTTAAATCCGCTCTACTCTAGGAACAAGACAGAGAACAACTGGACTAAACAACTGGTCTCAAACTGTTGGATGATAAAGTCAACAATGTCAATAATGAAAATATGTATGCATGGATTGTTGTTGTGCCATTTCTTAAAAAAAGCACTCTATAATGCTCTTTAATGTTCATATGATCATTCTGATAGATTGTAATACATTACAGGAAATGTAGGGGGCGACATGGCTTCTATTATTTCATTTAAAAGCACTGTGAGGGACTGTAATGTTCACATGATTCCTGTGGCCATTCTGACAGACTGTAATACACTACAGGAAGTGTAGGGGGCGATATGGCTTCTACTGTTTCATTTAAAAAGCTCTATAATGTTCATATGATCCACACAGTCACTCTGACAGACTGTAATACACTACAGGAAGTGTAGGGGGCGATATGGCTTCTACTGTTTCATTTAAAAAGTTTAAAAAGTTGTGAGGGCCATCCCAGAGAAGTAGGACAAATATGCTTGCTTGGAATCCTGGCCAAATACACCTGTGGTATCACCAAAGATTGAACTAGAACAACAATCTCTTGACAATAGGGCCAATGCTTAGATGGCAGCACCACTATTTTTGTCAAAGATTAAGATTGGGCATTGGCAGCAGCAAAGGAAGAGAAGCTAAAAACAAAATAGTCAGATTGAATTTACATGGAATCACAGTAAACACAGTACTGTGCAAAAGTCAGAGACCACACTTTATTTATTTTATTTTGAGTTACATCAGCCACCACATACAAGTTATTCATTTTTCAGCTTCAGGGAAAAAGTAAAAAAACTATTTATTTAACAGAAAATTAGACAAAAGCCTCAACATCTCAATATAATATAAAATTATTCAGTGTTCAGTGAGTCACTCTTTAACTTTATTACAGCTTCCATTCTTCTCAGGAGACTCACTTTCAGTTCCTCAAAGAATCTGCAGACACACCTCCAAAGTTCAGTCTTAGAAGCTGGTTGATCATTTTCTGAAGTAATCAAACCCATTCAGTGGTGTTGAGGTCTGGACTCTGGGGTGGTCAGTCCATCGTTCAGCTTCTTTGTTTGATGTGTCCGTCTCCTTTTCTCAGTGAGGTTCTTCTTGATCAGCTACACATCCTTTCAGACCCACAGCGCTGAGTCGTCTTCTCACAGTGGAAGGATGAACAGAAACACCTGTGGATGTTTTCAGATCTGAAGCAGCTTGATTTTCTCCTCTCTCTCAAAGATGAAAGCTTTAAGTGCTGTTTATCTGATGGGGGCAGTTCTGGTGTCTAACAGGTCTTCCAGGTGGTTGTTAGGAGGGCCATTTTCTCTGTAGCTTCTGATCATTTTTTGAACTCAAGTTTGGAAACTCCTGTCTTTTATTATAATCTAATTATAATCCAATTATAATAGTCTTATATCTCACCTCCTCAGGAGTATCTCCTGAAAAACGAATAACTTGTACCTAATGGGCATTTTAACTGGAAATTGCACAGTTCTATGTAGTTAAATTATGCAAATAATCCTTGGTTGCACCCCTCCAAAACACTTAGTCTTTTTTTCAATGCTCCAGTGACTCCTCTGTCTGAATAACGGTGATCTGGTTGATGTGCTATGCTGAACTCTCTTTGTAGGTGAAACTCTGATTTGTTTGATATGCTCTCCAGCACTGTGAAACTGTGTAAGAGTGAGATCAGCGAGATAAACTATAGAGAGCTCTTTTCTCTCTGTATGGACAAGAGCCTCTTGTCTTTGTCCTTGCTCTTGTTCTTTTTGAAAGCCACTGGTGCTTATCGCCTCCTTGGGCGGCTCTGCCCCTTGTTTACTCTTATACGCTGCAGAGGGCAGAAAGGAGAGGCACTTGGTCTCAGTCCAGCGAGCGCGGAGAGTGAGGCGGCCATCGGGCTAGCGATCACATTCTCAAGTGCCCACATATCATATCAGCGGTGCCCAGAGTGGCTCAATGTTGCAGCCATAGCAGTGCTAGAGTAACAGCTGGTGAACTGGTGGGCCATCTGGTGGGCTGACCATTCTCAAGTGCCCACATATCATCATATCAGCACTGCCCAGAGTGGCTCGGCGCCCCTAGTGATGCAGTTACGCAGGAGGCCTGGTGTAATGGCGACTTCTGCTGGGATTAATCAGCATTACATCTCATTAGAATGGCTGCATTCATGCAGCTGCACAAAGCTGTAGTGAACTAGAGAGGCTAACAGTGTGATGCAAAATGTTTGTCTCAGTTTAAAGAGACGCTTTGGCCAGAATTAGAAGTGTAACCATTGCTTCATCCGTTGTAAAAATTATCTTCATGCAACAGTGGTGCTGATGTAATCTCTAGTGTCAGATTTTCAGGTTCAAAGACAAGTTGTCTTTGTAGATGATGTATCTTGAAGGTGGAAGGAGCTTTGAAAAACTATTTATGGGGATTTTTTTTTTAATTTATCATTTACCTGAAAGGTAATAAAGGTAGAAAGGCAAAAAGCTTATGTTATTACCAAGAAGCCAAATACTTTATCACAGCTGTATAACTGTCGTAGCTGTAGCTTCAAAACCATTATAACAATGGACAAAACTGAGTACTCGAATAACAGAAATGCCTCTTTGTTTGATAAGCAGAAAATTTTCATAGGGGTTTGCAGATGGGGCTACTGAAAGTCTTGGGGTGGCTCACCAAAACCAAAAGGCATAACTGAATTTTAGGAATTCTATTATGCTGTTGTAGTGTGTGTGTGTGTAATATATATATATATATATATATATATATATATACATACATGCATACATACACATACACATACACACACACACACACACACACACACACACACACACACACACACACACAACAACAGCATAATATATATACACACACACACACACACAATCTAAACCGCTTATTCTCCTGTGTTGCGGGGGGTGCTAGATCCTATCTCAGCAGTCAATGGGCGGAAGGCAGGTACCACCTTGGGCAGGTCGCCAGTCTATCGCAGGGCAGACGTGTTGTAGTATATAGACTGGTTGAAAACTATGTCAATATGAGAGTTAAGGAATTGCATATTAATATACTTTGGTTTCTTTTTTACCGTTTGTTACTAATTGTCTAATGTGCATTTGGGCTGTCATAACTGGCCAGAAATGACGTTTGATTATTCCTTCTAAAAAAGGTTCAAACCATATAAATATGTATTTTTGTGCCTTATGTCCATGAGAGGGCAAACCAATACAAGAAGAGTAGTGCATCAGATTAATTCCCCCCTCAAATTTAAGATCCCCTTCATGAAGTCCCCCAGAGCCACATTCACTGAGAAGATATCAGCACCGAACA